ATCATTAAGACAAGCAGACTTGTCTGAGGTTTTATGGTGAGTCTAGGTGACCTTCCCTCCCCTGTTTTCTAGATGCCATATGTAATATATATTTGCATATGTGAGGATATTGAAAGCTGTCAGTACTATGATTCTTTAATTGAGTATTTAAGATGAGTGATCTCTAAATTCACTTTTAATTCTAATGATATGTTAGTCATGATCATGTAACATCTTTCTCAATTCTAGAGTCTCCAAATTAGGGTCCTTATTGAAAATGAATTTCGTAGAGAAAGTGAAGTACTGAATTCTTTTCTACAAAGGTGATGGCAGGGAGTAGAAGACATTGGGAGGTAACACTCATAGTATATACACATGAAAATCTGAACAAAGTTCTAATCTGTAGATGTTTGTGCTGGGTGACTTATGAAGAGATTGGGACTGTCTAGGGAATACCTTTAATGTTATAAAGCTAATCTATTCAAGGAGTATTGTAGATTGAATTCACTCTCTTATTTTAGCCCGTAGGGGGAAAAATTAAGACTAAACCCAAGTATTTTAAGATAATGACTTTTAAAAATTGCTTGAAAAGATAATTTACACCTACTGCTTAAGTAATACCACTGCCCATTCTGTTCTGTGTTCCATCTGTTGCAGGTGAGCACATGTCTTCTTCTGTTCCTTTTTTCTCCCCTTTTACTTGAAGTTCTTATATGCTTTCTTCTAAATGGTGGTGCCGCAGTCTGGCTGGGCACACAATCACGAGCCACCACACAGCTTGACCACCTTCAATTTAACCTTTTAAAGCCTTTCAATTATCATCTGTACTGTACTTTTAAGTGTACTTTTTCACCACCTACAACTTCACTCTTTTAAACGAGGCTTAGATTTTGTTTAAATCGCTTCAATGTTAGTTTACATGGCTGCCCTTCAACCAAAGGCTTTTTTTTTTTTTTTTTAACTCCATTGAGAAGCTTTGTCTCAATCTGCCATGTACAAATACCTTTTTTCTTCTTTTTTCCTTTCTCAAGCTTATAAAGTAAGTCTAGTTTCCTCAAAATCTTTTTAAATGGCATTTTACAACTTTTTACTTTACCACACAGAGATTATCTCATCTAGAAACATTTCTTTTTCCTTTAACCTTTTATATTAAAATATATTTCCACATCTTGAATCTTTTTCTATCTCTTTTTTAACCGTTAACCCTTTTTATAAATTCACATTTTGAAACAACTCTTATAAAATTTCTGATTTAGACAAATTACTCCACTTTAATAAGATGAAAGACTTTCATGTTTTTATGATACTATAATACTATAATTGAAACCCAACTGAAAATTTTTCTACTCTTTGTATATAAATTACACATGATAGAATCTTAACACTTAGTAACCTTGTTTTAGCAAAGACACAGACACAAAGCAATATTAAACATTTTTCCATTTACCAATTTATGAAAACACACATAATGTTTAAATATATTACCTTATGGAACTTAATAAGTAAAGAGTACTTGATTTTATATTTAGTGGTTGATATTTTAACACTTCAGCTTTGTAAATTAATTAGATGTCTGTAAAAAACAAGATCTTAGACAAATGTAGTAAACAGAACTAGCCATCTCTTGCTGGTGGGCCCTAAATTAGTGTTTGTTGCCTCATTTCCATTACCTTCTCTATAAACTTTTGTTTTAAATTATGAATTCCTTTAAAGTCTTATGTATCTTTTTATTTCCTGTGTCAAGCACATGCTTGACACATAATAAACATATAATAAATGTTTGTGGGCATGGACTTTTCAAAAAAGACTTGAAGTCTCCTATTCTAACTCTCCTATTCTCTAGCTGTGTCTTTAGGTGAGCTTCTTTGGTGCCTGAGGCCTCCTACTCATGACTCTTGTTCCAGAACAACTTGGTCCATACACATTTATATACAAAACTCTGAGATGCTGGGCACAGAAACATAAGAGACACACTCCATACTTTAGAGCACCTTTCTGTGTAGGAAACAACCTGATAATTGTTGTACAATGTAATAATTCCCTAAGTATAATAGGTTTCATTATAGGATCACAAGAAGGCATTCCACATGGTCTGCAAGACAGTTTAGGATCAAGAAATATACCCTGAAAGTGTTGACACTTGAGATTGTAAAAAAATAATAGAAGTTGGACTGAAGGGGAATTTAAGGATATACTAGGCAGAGAATACAGTGTTAGCCTAAGCATGAAAGTAAGAAACATCACTAGGTAAAGTACAAGTATATTTATATTTGAAGAGTTTATAAAGAATTGATAAGAGGTGACGGTAGAGAGATTAATAGCTCTATAGGGAATGGTCATTTTAGTTATTTGCAAATACATAACAAACTATACGAAAACCTAATAGCCAAAATAATGCACATTATCATCTTATAGTTTCTGAGGTTCAAGGACCTCTGCCTCAAGGTTTCTCACAAAGCAGCAATCAAGTTGTCAGCCAGGACTGTAATTACTCTGAGGTTCATTTAAGAAAGAATTCCAGCTTCATTCAAGTGTTTGCTAATAGTATTCTATTCTTTTGGTGCTATTGGAATGAGCGTTTGGTTCTACTTCAGAGCCTTCTCTCAGTTTCTTGTTCCATGGTCCTCTCTGTAGGACTGCTCACAACTTTGAAGCTGAGAGGGAGCAAGTGAGAGCAAGAGATGAGGGTAAGTAAAATGGAAGTCTGAGTTTTTTTAACCTAATTTTAGAAGTGACATCACTTTTGTCATACTCTATTCATTAGTATGAATAGTAATGCAATGGTAATAGCAAGTCATTAGGTTCCAACTCTACCTGTACACACACTCAAGGGGAGAGGATTACACAAGAATATGAATATTACAGAGGCAGGTGTCGTTGGGAACCATCTTTGAATCTACCTATCAAGTAGACTTGAGGATATAATATTAGAAGCCAAAAAAACTTAGGGGGCTATTGTAATAATTCAAGTGAAGGATGTGAAGATTATTATAGACATGTATAATAGAATGAAGTTAAGAAATATTTAGGTTGTGAAATCATGAAAGGTTAGTGATTTAGAGGATGAGGTTATAATGGGAGAAGGAATTAAGGGTGGCTTCTAATTATTTTTGGCTCTTAAATCACTATTGATCAAATAATATTTACTTCAATGTATCTGAAGCTCCTGTCCACATTGAGTTGTTCACTTTCATTACTGCTGTTCTTCATACTTTTAATAACTTAGGTTTGTCCTTAATATGGCTCTCATTGTGTCTTTCACTACATCCAGGTAGATACCAGTTGTTTCTCTGTTTAATTCTCTTTTATTTGATCCTTTTTTAATTGTTACCCTTTTGACCCAAGTAATTATCACTGTACTTAATGTGTGGGAACAGATCCTAATTCAATTCCTGTGTCCTTTTCCATTCATTAATTCTTATTCTAAAATACTTCCTATCTGTTTTCATTCTTTCAACAATTATATTGGGCCTACTTTATGACCAGCATTGTACAAGGCTACCTTCAGAATGTCTTAATGAGCAAGATAAGCATTATCTCAGTTATCTTTTAGTCTTCATTAGTTCCTTCTCTTTCCTACCTTCTGTCAAATATTAATAAATCTTATTGGGATCCTGTCTCAAAATGAAAAATAAAGTGCTGGGATTATAGCTCAATGGGAAAGTGCAATCCTCAGCACCCCCCCCCCAAAAAAAAAAGAAAATAAAAGGAAATACCACTAATTCTTAAAGTAGTCTTTAACTTCTATTCTTCTGTGAGACCTTCCTTTAAAAATGTATGTTCTTATGATTTTTTTTCTCCTGTAGTTGTTTTCAAGAGTTTTTCCTTTGACATTTTGAGATTCCATGTTTTAAAAGTGAACTCTTACCTAAGCTATTTACCTAAGCTTTATTATTCTTTAGTAATGACCTCTCAGTCTGTTGCAAGTAGTAGTGTTAACACTGTAACTCATTGGAATCTCACCTAGAGAACTTTGTAAACAGATAGGTGCCTGGATCTTCCTTTAAAAATTCTGGTTCAGGGCTGGGCATGGCGCATAGCTCCAGAGGCTAAGGCAAGAGGATCACAAGTTCAAAGCCAGCCTCAGCAAAAGTGAGGCGCTAAGCAACTCAGTGAGACCCTGTCTCTAAATAAAATGAAAACAGGACTGGGGATATGGCTCAGTGGTTGAGTGCCTCCTAAGTTCAATCTCTGGTACTCCTCACCAACAAAAAAATTCTGGTTCCATATGTCAGAAATGAAAACAAAACAAGGTGAGGTGAATTTGTTGTCCAGCTAAGTTAGAATGTTGTCGCATTAGATCTGTCCTCTAATGCAGCTACTAATTGTTTTGTGTACATTTAGCTTTATTCCTAAAGCAGTAGTTTCATATGCTGATAAAGACCAACTCAACACATACAGGTTTGTGGGCCCCATCCCTAGACATACCAAGTATGCAGCATCTGTGGTTATAACCAGTCTTATATTTTTTTTAAAAAATATGACCAAGAAATTACCAGATTTGAGGAATATTGGATTGATATATTATTTTTTTTAATATTTTTAAATCAGTATTATTCAGATAAATGGATATAAATATTTGTAAATATTAGTAGGACCAATGAGTCTGATAGGCTATGATTACCTTGGAAGGTTGAACTCATGCTGTGTTTAGATATTTAGATGATTCAATATTAGTTTTTAAAGTTTAGTCTTATACATTGATATGTTTTCTGAAGTTCTTTTAGATTGAATAACAACTTACTGATCACATGAAAAATTTATACTTTTATTTTATTTATTTATTTATTTTTATGTGGTGCTAAGGATCGAACCCAGGGCCTCACACATGCTAGGCAAGTGCTCTACCACAGAGCCACAACCCCAGCCCCTGATTGCTATATTCTTTTTTCTGATGTTATTCTGGCAAATCTGATTCTATTCCACTATAGGAAAGTGTGTTGTTATTGTCTTGCAGAATGGGGTTGTCAGAATGTAGCTTAAATAAACGTGTTGTCTTTTTTTTTTTTTTTTTTTTTTAGCGTTATTCCTCTTTTAAAAGAGTCTGTTGGAATATTGATGCAGAGAACTCCTCCCTTGTTGGAAAATACTCTGCCTCAGTGCTATCAAAGGGTAAGTTTCAAAGTTTCCAAACCATTGGATTTTATGTTGTTTCCAAACTGTTAGGGTTTTCAACTTTCATAAATATGGGCAGCATGTGTGTATAATTTAGTATTTCTCCCAAGACTGAATGCTGACCATGAATACCAGTTACACAAACCAGAATAAAATCATTGGAAAATATTGAACTTTACTAAAGAAAATGTGGTAGAAATTGTTCTCATCCAGAAATTGATCTGCTCTTTTAAAATATAGAATATGAAGAGCAGATCAAATAAGCATTTATTTCATATATTTTTTTAACTTCTACTCAGCATCACGCTCTTTTTTAAAATAGTGAGGATGTAGTAGTAAAAAAGACAGTGCCTCTTTTCTCATGGAGCCTACATTAGAACTAGTGGAGGAAAAACAGACACTAAGCAATAAGTTGATAAGAAAATATCAGTGATAATTGCTATAAAAGAAATAGGATGAGGGGATGTGATAGACATGGATGCCTATATTAGATTCACTGAGAAAGTCACTGAAACCTAGAAGACAAGAAGAAACCAGCCATATGAAAATTCTGGAGAAGAATTCTGATAAAAATATTTTTGATAGATATAAGATCACCCTTTTCTTAATTTTATAATTAATTATAAATTAATATGCTTAATTTTTCAATTAAGTATATGATATAGAAAGCATATTATGTAGTATATAATATTCACAAACATATTACATAAAAATCAAATCTAAAATTGAAAAGGATCTGTTGTTCATTTGATCCGGACTTCTACTTTTTCCTAGGCAAAGGAAAACACTAGTGCAGAAGTGCTATGATTGGGACTAATTTAGTGTATTTAAAAAACAGAAGGAAAAAAAAGGCCTTTGTGGTTGAAGCATAATAAATAAAGGGAAGAGTGTTTTGAAATGTTGGAGAGTAGAGGTCAGATTGTACAGGGTTTTGGTCATCTAAGGTTTAGAATTTACTGCAGTGGAAAATACTGGAAAGTTTTGAGATAGTGGGAGTATCATAACCCTTATGTTCTTAAAAGATTATTTTCTCCATGTGAAGAACAAATTCTAGGGAGAATGGAAGTAAAGAAAACCAATCTATTATCTATTGTCATATAAGTGGGGGAAAATGATGGCTTATTCTGCTGTCATAGCAATGAAGATGGAAATAAATATGAATTTGTGATACATTTTTGGAGGTGGATTATACTAGCAAAGGTGGGGCAAAAGTGTTGGCTTACTGTGTGGTAGATGGTAATGTTGAGATTTGAGACTGGATTGATACATGTTTGAGGATGGAAAATCCTACCAAATCAAGAATCCTGTTTGGGATATGTTAAATTTGAAATGCCCATTATACTTCTAGGGGAAACGTTCATAAAGTAACAAATTTGGAGTTTGGGGAATAGGTTAGGGTTAGGAAGAGTTTAAGTCATTAATATATGAATGGCATCAAAAACATTTAGGATTACATGAGATTACCTGGTAGAGGATATAATTTTATTCTCTTAGTTCCACTTTCAGCTCTAGATCTAGAGCACAGGTGGAAAAGCCAGGAAAGGTTAATAAGGAAGCTGGAAAATCAGAAGGGTGTAGTACCACAGAGCTGAAGAAGAGTTTAGTATTTGAGTTGAGTATTTCTATGGTGGTCATGTCAGTTAGGAACAGTGAAGTAATCCTTGTCTTAGCAACGTGAGATTAATGACCTTGATGAGAGCAATTTCAGAGTTGTGTTGAGGGGGAGAGCTTGATTTGAGGGAAGTAAAGACAATGGTTACAGACAACTCTTAAGAAGTATTGTTAAATTGAGCAGAGAAATGAGTTGATAAGGTTGATGGGCTGGATACGGATACAGTACCAGGAGACAGGGTATTTCCTCATTTGAAAAATATGGTATCTTAGAACAGTATTATCCTATAGAAGACTATCCCTGACAGTGAAAATATTCTATTATCTGCATTGTCCAGTGTGGATAGCATAACTGAATTTTTAAAATTTAATTTTATTTCATTGAAGTAGCCACATGTGATTTTAACTTTGTTTCATTTGAATAGCCACTAGTGATTTTTTGTATTGCACAGCACAGTTCTAGAACATGTGTGTTATTGGAAAAGTCCAACTGAAGGGAACAAATTGATGGTACATCAATGAAGGACATTGTTAAAAGAATGAAGTTCTTGAGCAGGTGAAAGGATAGAGCCAAAAACATGATCGAAGAATTAATTCTAGATAGGAGCAGGAATACCATATACCCTGAGGAAGGTAGAAGGTACTGACATAGATAAGAGGTGACTGGTAGATTTTGGTGATACAGGGTAAGACATTTTCTATGTTACTTCAGGTTTTTCTATGATTTAAAAGGCAGTGTAATCCTACAAAAAGATTGGATGCTTTAGGAAAATGAAAAATAGTATAAATATAGTATATAGTATAAAGTAGTTTTTTGAAATAGGGAAAATGAAGTGTAACCATTTAAGATTAGTTGTTTAGATTTGGGAACAGAATTAGTTAGTGTAAGAGTGGGACATTAAAAGCTAGTTTCCGCAGGAATTATTCCTTACTGTATGTTTTAGGATAACTGGAAGAATATCCTAGTACTGCTTTTTCTATGGAGGAAGAGGAAATCTATTCACAGATTGTTGTCTCACTAATAGTAGACCACTCCTTGAGGATGCCACTTAGGACAATGTGGAGGAATTCTTAGTTTGAAGTCACTGTGTCCTCAGAGGCCTCAAGGAGGAAGAGAAAATTCCCTTTGATCTCTTTCCCTGGTAAAAACAGTTTTCAAAGAGAGCACAGTGGATGTTGTCTTAAATTTCCCATCAACTCTCTTGGAGTTTCTAAAAATATAATACCTGTATTCCTCAAATTCTGAGAAAAATATTTTTGATAGATATAAGATCAGCCTTTTCTTAATTTTATAATTAATTATAAATTAATATCTTAATTTTTCAATTAAGTATATGATATAGAAAGTATATTATGTAGTATATAATATTCACAAACATATTACATAAAAATCAAATCTAAAATTGAAAAGATCTGTTGTTCATTTGATCCAGACTTCTACTGTTTACAAAAATCTCCACTGTGAAACCCAGTTATTTATGCAGTTTGTTGACTATTTCCAGGTAGAGGTAGTAAACCCCTTCACAGAGTTGCCTCTTTTTCTTTTCTTTTTTATTCTTTTTCTTAGGTTCTGGGACATGAACCCAGGATCTTGCCTGTACTAAACACATGATCTGCCACCAAGCCCCACCCCCAACCCTAGCCATTTCTCTTTTTAAGCTGCTGTAGCATCTTTCTCTTTTTCCTGATCTTCAAAGGAGTCCACCTAAAGTTTTATTCTTAAATATTTTTTACATTTTTGGCAGATAACCTGTATTAAAACAAAATCATTCTAGTAATTTTTTCTGGATCATAAACAATTTAAGTACTGTAATTATAATACACTTATTGAAATGACTGTATGATTTTTCTGTTTATTAATTGAAGAATAACAATAATAGAGTTTCTGATTTGAAACCATTCTTCTTTCTTGGGATAAACTCAATCTAGTCATGATATGTTATTTTCTTCATATATTGTTGGATTTAGGTTATTTAACTCATAAGGCAAATTAGTTTATGATTTATTGTCTATCTGGTTTGGGGATCAAAGTAATTTTTTACTAATGTAATGTAGCAGCTCTTTTCTATTTCTAGAAAACCAAAAAGTGGTTATCTTCTTGAAAGTTGCTCCCCATCCCCAGGTTTAGAGCTTTATTGAAAGAGAATTTTGTTACCAATTCAATTTTCAATGATTCTTTCACTTTCACATTTTCTTTTTTTTAGTATTTTTGGAAATTTATCCATTTTGTATACATTTTCATAATGTGTTTTTATTTATTTAATATATATTACTATTGAACTTACTTGGACCAGGTATTTTAAGCACTTAAAATACAAAATAAAAATAAGTTCCTGACCTTATTGATCTTAAAGTCTTCAGGAGGAGACACACAGTACACAGTATAAATAGAGGCTGATTATTCCTTAACTGAAATGCTGAAAGAGAATTGTTTCAGATTTCAAATTTTTCTTTTGATTTTGAAGTATTTGCATATCTATAATGAGATATATTGAAGGTGGTACCAAAGTCTAAGCATGAAATTCATTGATTACATTATACCTTAATTCATAGCCTGGTGGTAGTTGTATATAATATTTTTAGTGCACTTGTGTTTTTACTGTCATCCTTTACATTTTGCATTTTTTTGGATTAGGGATGCTCAACCTATAATATAGATGAATAAATGAGTGGATGAATGCTATGCAATGTCACATGCCCAAGAAAAGATTTCTAAGAAGATGACATTTGATTCAATACCCAAAAAAAGTAGAAATCTGAGAAGAATATTCCAAGCAGAGGCAAGCAAGTAACCTGAGACAGAAATGTGCCTGGCTTTTTTAAAAGAATGGTGAGGAGGCTGGGGCAGCTGATGAAAAGGGACAGAGGAGAAGAGGTGGTAGTGAGGTGAATAATGTGAAAGGGTGACAAGTTGTAAAAATATTGGCTTAATGCAGAGGTAGAAAGGAAGCTATTGGAGGATTTTGAACAGAGGAGTGGCAGCATCTGACCTGTAAACCAGTGGACTCTCACTTAGGCTACTATTTTGAGATTAGATAGAATAGATGCAAGGCTAGAATTAGAGAAACTAGTTAAGAAGCTATTATAATTATTTAGAACTACATTTGGATTAGGCTGACCTCCCAATGGAGGTCTCATTGAGGATTGTTTGGATTCTACTTGGTTGTAATATTTTGTATAGTCATATATTAATATAGTCAATATTATTCATAGGATTCCTGTGGCATTCATAGGATTCCTGTTTGTAGATTTTAAATTTTAAAGTTTCTTTTTTGTGTGTTTGTAGTTATCTACCTTTTTCATTTTGCATTTTGTTTGATTCTATCTTATCTTTTACCTTCATCAGAAGTTTGCATTGGTGTGGTTCTTGACCTAAGGCTGTGGAAAACCTAGGGAGCTGTTGGATACATCCCTCACATAGACATCCTCCTTCCCCTCTTTTAGTATTGTCATATTATTTGGGGAAGGGTACATGTTGGCATTTGTTCAATGAGACCCAGAGAGGCAAAGGTCCTGTATTCTCTTGGACAGTCACATACCCCGAAGAATTGTCCTGCTTAATATATGTCCCATTTAGAAATATTTCTTTAGTTTATTAATCTTTTCAAAGAATTAATTTCTATATTATGAATTTTGTCATATTCTAAAATCTCTATATCATTGATTTCTGTCCTTTATTTTCTCCCTTCTTATTTCTTTGGGTTTTGTTCTTTTTCTAGCTTCTTGGCTCATTTGTATTTGTTTTCTGATCAGTGTACTTGAAATTTTCACTTCTCCTGTAGGTATTCTCAGTTATGCTTCACAAGTTTGATATGTGTTCGTTCATTCTATTTCTCAAACCCCTATTATGGTGTTATCTGGTATATAATATGTTTGCATTGGTGTGGTACTTGACCATAGGTATTTGTCAATTCAAATACCCTCCTCCCCTTTTTTCAACTAGAGGGTAGAATCTATGCTAATTGATAGATTGCATAACAACTTCAATGGGAGAGGGCACATAAATTTTATTTTGATGCTGATATCTGCCCTTTGTATTTTAGGTGCAGCAGTTGCAAGGAGTTTATAGTTTACAAGAACAGCACTTCTGGACTTTATGTTCTGATGTTTACGTTGGGACCTTGAAATTAATAGTAGCACCTGATGCTGATGCCAGATGGATTTTAAGCCAAACACATAATATTTTCACTCAGGTAAGATTGTGTTGCTAACTTCTTGTAAGGGTCTTAAAATTTATTGTGTGTACTAGTTTATAAATGTTTATTATTTAGCATATTAAATATAGGCTAGTAAGCTATAAGGGAAATATAAAACTACATTTTTCCTCCAATCAGAGTCTTAATTTGGGAGATCTTTATTTTAGTTAATACTCTTAAGGAAGATGGTTTCAATTTATTCATTGTTGTATTGATTTGATTTTCTTTAAAAAAGTGGATTCTTGCCAGTCATGGTGGTACATGCCTATAATCTCGGCAACTCGGGAAGCTGAGGTAGCAGAATCTTGAGTTCAAAGCCAGCCTCAGCAAAAGTGAGGTGCTAAGCAACTCAGTGAGACCCTGACTCTAAATAAAATACAAAATAGGTCTGGGGATGTGCCTCAGTGGTCGAGTTCCCTGAATTCAATTCCTGGTACACCCCCACACAAAAAAAAGTGGGCTCTTCTTTACTGCACACTCCTTATCCATATTAGATGCTATTTGAAACCAACAATTCTAAAAGAGCATTTGGAATAATAATAATACTTTGTTAGTGGCTTTAACCACAATCTGTTAACTTTTTTGGTTTTTGTCTTTTTTGTACTGGGGATTGAACTCAGGGGCACTTTACCACTGAGCTACAGCCCCAGTCATTTTTATTTTTTAAGACAGGGTCTTTTGATTTGGGCCTTGCTAAGTTACTGAGGTTGATCTCAAACTTGGCAATCCTCCTGCCTCGGTCTCCCAAGTCCTGGGATGGTAGGTGTGTACTATGTGTGCCTGGTCTGTTATCATTGTTGCATGATAGTTACCTTCTGTGTGATTTAGTAGCTTACTATGCTATTGAATTTTTCTTAATACAGGTTGAATATTCCTTATGCAATATGCTTGGGAGCAGAAGTGTTTCAGATTTCAGAGTTTTTTTGAATTTTGGAATGTTTGAATAGACTACCAGTTGAGCATCCCTAATCTGAAAATCTAAAATACAAAATGCTACAAAATCTGAAAATTATTGAGTATCACATTGGCTAAGATATGAATATAGGCTGTATAATAGTTCACATAAATTGTATGGGAATTAAATTTCTTGGGTATGATAATGTTATTGTGACTACAGAAGAATTTTAGGAGATAATGTGCAAAGGATTTAATGATAAAGTATCAGGATGTCTAATTTTCAAATATTTTAGCAAAATTAAAAAGATTACAAATAAATACACATGTAGAGAAAACAAATTTGGCAAAATGTTAACTTTGGGTGAGTATAGGTGGTGGGTACCTATTTTACTTTGTTTTGACTTAAATTTTTTTTTCAAAATAAAAGCCTGAAAAATAAAAACTATTATAGCTCCTCATTACCACCAGGATAAAGCCCAAACTTTATTAGCATGGTCCAATTCACTTCAAATCTCTATGCTGCTCTTCATTGCCATGTACTTTATACTCCAAACTCACCAGACTATTCACTTTCATATGGATTAAAACCCTACTCTAACTTAACTGTCAGTTGTGCTGCTTTCTCTTAGAAGCCTTAAAGATCCCTCTAAGCTGAATTACTTTATCCTTTTATATATGTATCACATTATACATCTCTGTCTCTGTCTCTCTATCTCTCATGCACACATCTTTAGATAGAAGCAACATAACATAATGTGTAGTTTAGTTAAATTTAGGACATTAGCATAAATTAAGCAATCTCTCCTCATAAAAAGACATGTATGATTTGAGTTCCTTAAGGAATGAATTAATGGCATAATCTTATGTGTAATTAGGATTTACTCTAATCCTAATCATATGCAATCAAGAGTTACTCTGCTAATAGACAACAATTTGTAGTTACCACTTATATATCCCAGAATTTTAACAACTAGGCCTTTTTTTTTTTTTTTTTTTTTTTGGTACCCTGGATTGAATCCAGGGGCTCTTAAACTCTGAGCCACATCCCCAGCTCTTTTTATATTTTATTGTGAGACAGGGTCTCACTAAGTTACTTAGGGCCTAAGTTACTGAGTATGGCTTTGAACTTAGAATTCACTTGCCTCAGCTTCCCAAGCTGCTTGTGCTATATTGCACCTGGCTTTAGGCCTCTTTCTTAACAGACACTTTATATATGTCTGTATCATTATGAGTTTCATAATGAAGTATGCAAGACCTTCATGGTATGTCTGAATCCTTCTCATACCTCCTCCATGTTTCAGGGTCAAAAGGAGAACAAGACAAGCAATAGTCTGTTTACTGCCTTTTCCAAATCATTTTGCTCTCCTTTATCCTGAATTTTCTCCTGGTTATTCTGTACCCTCCATCTTCATAGTTACGAACTTCTGTTGATCTCCAGGACATCCTGTACTCTCCTAAGACATTGGCTCTGAGTCACAATTTTCACTCTGAGAAGGATTGCAGTTTCTAGGTTGAGAAATGTGCAAGCAGCTGTCTGTGCTTAGGAACTGCAGAAGTTGTAATTGAAGTAGGTAGCGGAGATGGTTCTAGTAATGTTGGAAATCTTAGTGAAGCTGAAAGTTTATTTAACTGCTTCTTTGATTTTGGAAACTGCATTTGGGCTTTGATTATTTTAAGCTCTGAAACATATTTAAGCCTTTATATCAACCTAGAGTCATGACAACTTTATCTTATTCCTTGCAGAGACCAGGGTCTCTCTTTGAGGCTTACAGTAAGGAAAGCTCAACATGTTTTCCCCAACGGGTTGAGGGAAGTCACCCCACTAATAAATTTAATTTTTACACTTGATGCATATAATGATTTTAAAGTTGTCTCATCATCTTTTTAGTTCTCACATATACAAAACCAAAATTTTCTTATTAATTTATTTTCCCTTTCAGCTTATACCTTAGTCATACATGTCTTTATGGAATGAATATGTCAGAGCTTATTTTAAGTATTGCCATAGCATTTTGTTTCATTTCATGAAATTTAATATTTTTTTAAAGTAAGTTTATTGTGGCCCACAATTTCAGAAATTTTAGTCCATGGTTGGCCCACTCCCTTTAAAAAAAAAATTTTTTTTAATTGTTGATAGACCTATCCTATTTATTTATTTGTTTGTTTGTTTATTTATTTATACTCAGTGCTGAGAATCAAACTCAGTGCCTCACACATGCCAGGCAAGTGCACCATCACTGAGCCACACCTACAGCCCATGAAATTTAATTTTTTAAAAATTACTTCTTTTTCTTTTATTTATCAAAAATAAAATCATGATTACTCAATTTTTTGAAAGAAAAGATCATGCTAATGCATTAGATAGATTTCTTATAGAAAGATTTAAAATACTAGCAGTTTTAGTTCTAAAAGGAAAAAAGGATATTTTTCCATAATATTAATTACATGATGAATATAATATGTTTGTTACATAATAAACATAATGTTTATTACATTTGTAGGTAGGTATCTTTCTTATAGCTGATCTTAAATCAAAATTTAAGTAATAGTTTTTGGTAAAAAATATTCTTGTTAAAAATTATTAAATGAATAACTTTAAACTGAAAAGGCCAAATTATAATTTGCTATTTTGTTTATTAAACTATAGCTTTGTGCCAAGTATGGTACATGGCTGTAATCCCACTTACTTGGGAAGCCAAGGCAGGAGGATCTCAAATTTGAAACCTTCCTAGTCTCAAAATAAAAGAAGGCTGGAGGTATGTAGCTCAGTGGTAGAGTGCTCGCCTAGAACTCAAGCACTTAGAGGCCTTGGATTAAATCCTTAGTACTGCAAGGAAAAACAAAAAATAAGAAAAGCTTTGTGACTATTTTAGAACTCTGTATTAAGCATCAATCTTTTCAGTCTCTTTATCTGTCAATCTTTAACTGCTAAAGAAGATAGTTTGCATGAATATAGAGTAATACAAATGAACTGCTGGAAGTTACTTTAGTACTTAGATTCTTTTGAAATGATTACTTACTTTATAATCCAGTTTCTATATTATATAGGAAGGAAGTCTGTTAATTTTTAATGACATACTTCACAATAACAACTATAATCCTAAAATTATAAATATACTTTTTTTTTGTTAGAAATAGGTTGTTCGGGTATAAAGCAAGGAATGGGATAGCTGGGTCAAATGGTGGTTTCTTTCCATTTTCTGAGGAATCTTCATACTGCTTTCTAGAGCAGTTGCACCAATTTGCAGTCCTACCAGCAATGTATGAGTATACTTCCCCCCACATCCTTGCCAACACTAATTATTGCTTGTATTCTTGATAATTGCCGTTCTTACTGGCATGAGATGAAATCTTATAGTAGTTTTGATTTGCATTTCTCATTGCTAGAGATAATGAATATTTTTTCATATATTTGTTGATCGATTATATTTCTTCTTCTGTGAAGTGTCTGTTCAATTCCTTAGCATATTTATTGATTGAGTTATTTTTTTGGTGTTAGGTTTTTTGAATTCTTTATATATAATCCTGGAAATTAGTGCTCTATCTTAGGTGCATGTGGTAAGGATTTTTTCCCATTCTGTAGGCTCTCCACATTATTGATTGTTTCCTTTGCTGTGAAGAAGCTTTTCAGTTTGAATCCATCCTACTTATTGATTGTTGGTTTTACTTCTTGTGCTTTAGGAGTCTTATTAAGGAAGTCAGGTCCTAAGCCAACATGATGAAGATTTGAGCCTACTTTTTCTTCTGTTAGGTGTATGGTCTCTCTTCTAGTGCCTAAGGCTTTGATCCACTTTGAATTGATTTTTGTGCATGGTGAGAGAGGTTTAATTTCATTTTGCTACATAGGATTTCCAGTTTTCTCAGCACCATTTGTTTTATAGGTTATCTTTCTAATTAGAACAAATTAAAAATTAAAACAAATTAAAGGTTAATAAAAGATAACTACTATGTTTCATATTTACTAATATATAGTAATTACTGAAGTTTGGATATTTTCTTTGTATCTTCAGCACAAGATATGGTACATCATCTATGTATTAAATAAAAATGTTGACTGAACTAAAAAAAAGAAAAAGGTTGTTTGAAGAAGACACATTCAAGAAAAATGTTAAACATCTTTGAAGAAAAATGTAGAACATGCTTGAGATTCATTATCCTCCTTAGTTCACAAAACACAAAAGACAGTCAAGCCTAATACATAATATTTACTCTCTGAAAGAACTTCTACCTCATCTTTTCCATCTTTTCTGCTCATCTGCCTTTCTTTGTTAAGCCTATTAAGTTATAAGCCCACAGCTTCCTGCTTTAGCTTTTTGTGTTCTTTTCTCTGGCCTCAAAATAGAAATAAACACTGATACCCAGGAAGGAACCAAAAAAACCTCCTCACAAACCCAAATGGGGTTCGCTGACCTTCAGAAACTCTCCACCTCCATCACTCTCCTGTGTTCATAATCCCTTCCTGTCTGACCTATGACCTTGTCTGACCCTATTTTGTCTTCTTCAGAGAAGCACCTGGAGTGGGTGAAATTTTCTGCCCCCTTCCAGCCAGATCACTGTTCTTCTAGCCTCTCCATTCCCTTCCCCTTTTTGTAAGGAGCTTTGATCTTTGTGTGTTGATTTTGCTGACCTGTTCTACAAACTTTTCCTCATCCATCTTTCCTTTACCTTTGGTCATCATCCTCAGAAGGTAGGAGTAAACAGATGTGAGGCCAAACATATTGCTAGGTTTGTATTTAATTAATCCATATGGTGTGTTCATGAGTATGTGGAAATAATAGCAGCAGGGGCAACTAGCATTTATTGAGTCCACCAGGTGCCATGCACTGTGATAGATACATAATATATTAATTGATACTCAAAACAATTTACAGAAAAAGAAACCCAGATTCACGTTATTGTTTTTGACATATAATTTAGTCATATTCACTCACCATATCATTAACTGGAATGTTTTCCATGGAAAAGTAGTAGTTTTTCAAGATTTCATTTTAAAGGAAAAAAGATTAATATTATATGGTTAGTCAAAAACTAAAGTAGAAAGTTTCAGTGGCTTTTGATAGAGAATACAAGTAAACCAATAATTTTCTATAGTCATATTGCTACTTAGTTTTCTAACTTTTCTATTTCTCATTTGTTTTCCTTTCCACAACAGTGAATATCTGTTGAAGATATTCTAAGCCTGTGATACTAAGTGAATGTTTATTTTTTTAGTAGTTTAGAAGTATTCAAGTAACTAGCTATCTTTCCCATTTTAAAAAGTGTTGGCTGAAGTATGGTTTATTATTCTCAATTTTGAGAATTATCATTAACGTAATTACTATTATTTGGTTTTCACATTTTTAAGGATGGCCTTTCAGTCAGCCTCTGACACTTGAAATTATTCTAATGGTAGAATATCTGGTGGAACCAAGCACTGTTTCATCATTGAAATATCTGTCATGTCTTTGTAATGCAAAGAAACTATCCAAAGCAGAGTTTGCATTCAGGGAGTAAGTGACTTCACAAAAGATTCTTTGGCAATTCTACTTTTCTGCCTACTTTGAAGGAAATTGAAAGAGGAAAATGGGAAGCTGGAGAATTTGAAGCTTTCCCTATTGGGACAGATGGATAAAGTGACCTTTTTTTCCTTTTCTTTTTGCTGTTTGACTAAGCTTTTGTGGAAAGCTGCAGCCCCTCAGGGGACTGATATCTGCTTGAGTAATTAACTCATGATTATGCAAAGTTAGTTTATCTAGCCTCTTTGTTTTTCCCCCTTTTTTTGTTGCCTTGGGCTACTTCATTTCTTATTACCATCTTCACTGCGTTAAGGCTGGGGGGTAAAGAAAATGGTAGAGACAATAAAAGGAGTCCAACTTATTTTATTTTGCACATTTTACTTTCATTAACAATTTTGTTAAAACAGCTGTTAAGAATTTATTTAGGCGGTAATTGTTTTCTGTTAAGATTAGGTATACAACAATTTTACAAAATAGTTCTTAAATACTGTTTTCAGGGTCCATCTAGATTGAGTAAATCAAATCATATAATCAGTCAGAATAACCATAATAGCTTTTATTGCATATCAAATTCTTTCTCTTACACTCTTGATCCTTATAACAGTGTCTGGTATGTAGCAAGGCTTTTAAAATACTTATTAACTATTAGATGAATATATAACAGTCCTGTGAGATTAATATTGGCATTTATCTGCAATGTTAAATGAGAAATGATGACATTTGGTTTAATTTGTACCTAAAAATCATACAGACACTAAATTCTGGCATTTTTCAGCCATAAACCTCTTAACCAAGGAGAAGGTATTAGTAAATGTATTCTCTCAAAGTTTGAATAACAGAGTTTAGACTTACACAGTAAGTTGTTGTTTTTTTTTTTTTATAATGAGGCAAATAAAGAAAACCCAAAAGCATGTTTTCTGTCCTGGCAAGCTTCTAGGGTCTGTCCAGCAGTGCCTCCCCAGCTCTGCACCAGTGGGTCCTGACTCCTAAAGCGTTTGTTTGATGTTGCTCAGGTTCTTCTCTGGATGTCAAGGGTTGAGGTGAGGGGAGATATGTGAAAGCGGTGTTTTAAAGAGTGCAGAAATTACTGTAAGGTAGTCTGTGTCACCCCCACCACCCACCCACATTCTGTTTTTCTTTTCTTTCTTTCTTCCTTTTTTTTTTTTGGAGGGGGGGGCCCTTTACTTTAAATATTTCAGTTTACCTAAGGTACCGACAAGAAAGGACTTTTTTTCTGACTGCATTTACTATGTGCCAGGTTCTGGGAGTGAGGGATGAACAAAAGAAGATAAAATCCTTTCTCTAGGAGAGATTCTTTAATGGTGGGGGAACAAGAGTATTAAGCACAGTGAATAATTAAGTGGTATAATATGTCACCAGGTGATGAGTGATGAGATGTTGGGTGAGGAGCAAGGGTGAGAGACTGTCAGTGCTTGAGGCGCTTACCTCCTCTGTTCCAAGTGTTCTTTTCTCCGTGACATATGTATTATTATCTCATATATTGTATTTCCTTGCATATTTGTTCATCATTTCTCCCCACCAGGCCCTCAATAAAATATAAACTTTGAGGGCAAGGATTTTTGTTGTTGTTGTCACTTTTATATTTCTAGATGATAGAACACTACATGGGATACAATAAATGCATGTTAAATGTGTTTCACACAGGATGGTGAAGGTAGGCCTTGCTGATGTCCGAATAGGGATGTAACATGAGGATATCATGTCAATATCTTGAGGAACGTAGAAGAGTCAGTATGGCTGAGGCCTAGTGAACAGTGCGGGGTAGAAGAAGAATCAGAGCAGAGGCAATCAGGGATCAGATTATGTGGGGGCTGTGTATGCCATTTTAAGACCTCTGGGCTTAGGGAACTGAAGAATAGGTATAAGTTACAGTCTAGAAATATGAATTTGAGAAGTGAGCATACAACTGGTACTTGATCATCTAGGGAACCAGAACAGAAAAAGAATGGTTCTGTGCACTGAGCCTTTGGGTATTTCAGTGTCTAATGTTCAAAGATAGGAGGAAGAATCAACAAGAGACTGAGAAAGATTGATAAATGAGGTTAAAGGGCAACCTATGAGTTTTCTCTGGAAGCCATGAGCAGGGAAAGTGTTTAGTAGGAGGGGAGTGATCTTCTGTACTATTGCTTGTAAGTTGAATAGTAAGATAAGGACTGAGAATTAAGCACTGGTCTGAGCAACTTGGAGATGACTTTTGGGGGGAAGTGATGGGAAATAAAAGTTTGGTTGAAATGACTTCCATAGAAGAAGAAATATGGACAACTCTTTTGAGGATTTTTGCTATCCAGAAGAGCAGAACTGGGACTGTACCCGAAGGGGATGTAGGGTAAAGTAAAGGGTTTTTTAAAGGTGGAAGAAATTGTAGTGTATTTGTATGCTAATAAAATGATCCAGTTGAGAGAGGAAAATTGATAGCATAGAAGAGATGGGGGAAAATTTAAAGAGCAATGTTCTTGAGTAGTAAGTATATATCCAAAATTAAACAAAAGAGTTGAAGCATAAAATAATTAAATAACTAGTAAGTGGTTATACTTATTAAATATTCTTGTTGACCATTTACCATGTGAAGAGTTAGACTGGGATGACTGGATTTTAGTAGTAGCTAACCAGTCAAGCATTATGGTGTTCTTCAACAGAAATGTAGATGAGTAACCTCATTTTTCTGATATCACTTGTGACTAGTAGTATGCTTTTTGGCAATGGTTTTACAACTTACAAATGTAATTGTTTCTGATATAATTTTCTGGTGATTTATGTTAAAATATGAATAATTATTTCCCAGAGACAGGAAAGAAAAACAATTGTTTTTTTAATTGAATTTTTTTATTACTTTTCTGAAGTGTGTAGTCTGTTATTGGCTTGATAATCTAATTTTTATTTTTTTCAACTTTTCAGGCTGGAGTGAGACAGCTTTATGTACAGATTGACTTTGCAGCCATGTAGTAAATGAAAAGAATGTTTTTTTTTTTTTCTTTTCTTTTCTTTTTTTTACCAAATTTTTCTGGTACTGTACAATCCAAAACGTTGTACTAAATAGAGATTTCATCACTACAATTCCCCAGCACCATGAAGACCAGGTAGAGTCCGCCGTTTGTGCTCTGTGGGGAGTTCACCACTAAGGGATCACAATTAAGAGGATATCTCCTGGACTGCTGGTCTTGTCATTTGTGCTCTTCCCTCCAAGCCATTCTGGTTTCTGAGGTTTTTGGTTTTGTTTTAGAGGGTTGATTTGTCCTTTTTTCCCCCATCAGGGAGTGGGAGGGGGCGTTTCGTGAATGCCCTTTCCCTGTCCCTCATCCCAGCTGGTGAGATTCAGACTGTGGGCTTCCAGTCATCTGGAATGTCTTCACTGAAGCTGCTGGAACCACTGCTTTTATTCCCACAAAACCAGTGTTATTTAAAAAGAAATGGAAATATGTTTTATATGTAATGTCACAGTTGTTGACGTTCTTCAGTATAATCATATGTTTGTAAAATTGTTTGTACCTTGCAAACTTATGAACCAAACCATATTGGGTTTTCAAAGTGCCTTTGTATCAGAAAATGTATTTGCCAGCATAAAAATGTACCAACAAAGGTCATGTATGTGTTTTTTTAAATGGATATTCTGTAATCTGTACAAAACATGACTCTTGCTTAGAATACCAGTCTTTTTTTGTGTACTTCCAGCGTTGGTTTAGATACATGAAGTTTCTTTTTATTGTTTTATCTCATCAAAAAAATAAATAAATAAAAGGTATTATTTTGCTTTTTAAAACGAATTCAATAATCACATCAAATTACTTTGTGGAGTGGATTCTCAAAACTTTGCAAATGTCTGTTCCAGACAAAATTGTTTTGACCTAAAACATTTGCTAATTTCCAAATTTCTGGAAAGATACTGTGTTTATGATAAATTTTCCAGTAGCTCTCCTTGCCATTTTTGTGAATTTTATTAATGTTTGGAAAAGGCAGTAGACTGAAGGCAGAAATGGTTGTCATAGCATTAATGTGCATTTTCAATCTTCAAATGTCAAATCATACAGTTTGTTTTCCTGTTTTAACTTTGCACAAATGATTGCTTTCAGGAATATTATACAGCATTTGATTGAGTTGGAACTATTTAAGGTACGGAGCAAATGTGGTGATGTAGAACTCTTCCTAACACAGGTGTCTTAGAAGTACAAGATAAGCTTATTTCTAGGTTCTTGTGTGTTTGAAAAATAAAATTGCAATTTGACACAAGTACTTCAACGCGCTACTTAAGTATTCTCTTATGAAGAGATACTGATTTGGATAAACATTTTCCCATTGTACTTCCTTTTATCACAACATATATTCCCTTTTACTTTAAAACACTGAAATTGTTGCGAGGGGGAATCTTGTGGAGCAACAATGATTGTAGAGAAGAGTATAGATCAGTACATTCAGTAAAGTAGCAAAAATCATTATTGATTTTGCATAGGTTTAGAATATCTTTTCCCTACTTCTGATCCATCATTCATGAACTATTTTATATTAGAAAAACTACACCATTTTCTTCATGCTTTTAAAAACTACTACAGATTACCATTAACTGATCATTCAAGACATGTTTGCTCACTTCCAGGTAGTTTGAAAGCTAAGAATTCCTGCAGTAGATTGTGTTCAATTGAAAAAGGTCCTTTAGGAGGGAAAGTACAGAAGGAAATGTGGTCTACTAGTATTGCTTTTTCATTACAAGTGTAAGTAGTCATTTGGAAGTTTGAACCACTACCAAGTCTGATAGAACTCTGGGATAATCAGTCTGTGGGTTTTGGCATATTACAGAAAATGACAGGTCTAGATGAAGGCAGAGATTTTGGATGTATGCCTTTACAAACTAATTATATGTAACTATCCTGACATTTCACATATGGAGATAATTGCACTGGTTTGTAAATTTTATCAGTGCATTCTGAAGATCCAGTTCTGCCTTAAGCTGAGCCCTCCATTCCAAGTGAAGTTTTTGTCAAAATATGTATATTACTTTATTTAATTGTATCCTCAAATGCACAAATCCATGAATATGCTTTTTCCCCTTTGGTAAGTATTGGATATGAAACTCTTAATTTTGTACTGTTTCAAGAAATTCCCAGCTCATGTCATTGAGCAAGTTGGCATTAACATTTATGCTTTAATTAAATGTCAGTATACCTGTGTATACAGCAGAAAAGAAAAATGTTTTTTTCTCACAGAAAATAATTGCTTATCAGTGGTCTTGGCACAGATATTATATATTACTAAATTAATATATTACTAAAATAGATATTTCACTGAGAAATACCACCTGATTATGGTTGTAAATTTAGACTGTCTTTAGCATTAGGCTCTTGCAAAACAAAAACCATCCATATTTGAGTATAAATTTACCAGTATTTCAAAAACCAGAATATTCTCTAGACAGCAAATTTGTATTGCTCAGGAAAAGTTTGCTGGGTAAGCTTTCCTAAACAGAAATATACCCATACTACTTGTGTCTTTTAAAATTCATTTTATTACTGAAGATGAAGGACTTATGCATAATTTCCTCAGTTTGCTAACTCCCTGTGCATCTTGGTGAAGGGCAGTATCTAGTTTATCTGTAGGTTACTGTTCCTCATACTGTCACATGTACCATTCTTCTGCAGTGGATGTATAATAAAGAGGTAACAGGTGTCACTGGTATTATGATTTCACTTTGTCTGAAATGTTTCAGCATTTTTCAAAGCCTACACATATTTACCAGTAATCAAAATACTGTGACTTTTATGTACCTCTCTAAAGCAGCCAAATCATTAACTCAAAATGCAGCTGACCAGAGTTCTGTAATGTTTTTACCTCCCATGGAATAAGCAATTTTTACAAATATCAGAATGGTAACACCCTGATATATAATGTTGGGATTTAAGAATAACATTACATTACTTAACAAAATTTTACATCTAAGTGAGGGCTTTGCTTAGAAGCAATCTAGCTCTACCTCTCATTTTACAGATGAGAAAATTGAAGCCCAGAAAAGCTGTTATTTACTCAAGGCTCAGAGATCTTTAGTGGCAAAGCCAAGATTAGAATTTAGATCTAGATCTTCTGACTCTTAAGTTGAGAGTTCTTTATTGTGCTGCCTCTCTAGTATGATATTTGCTTTTCTGTAAATGTGACTGACAGTTGTAAATAAAGAATATCCAACAAACATTTTTGGTACATTAAGGCACTTTATAAATGTAATTTTGTCTCATTTTTTCATATCTAATGAAATTAGATTTTTCCGTATTTTTTTTTTTTTTACTTGTGGAACTAATTCCTTTTAAAAAATGATGACATTTTTACAATGGATACTTCTGTCAGCAAATGTACCTGTTAATTTCCCAAGATTCAATCCAGTTTAAGGATTTCTTAGTTTCCTTTTCTGTTTTTATTGTGAACTGGTACTTTTTAAAAACCAGGTGAATTCACAGATTATAGCATTTTGTGTTGCCACTTTGCATTTCAATCACTGGAGAGCTTTTTGTTTTTAAAATCCTTAGAGCTGTTTTTAAAAGGGGCATTAAATATATTGAAGAAATCTTTCAATTCAGTAGGGTAAAGTTTTGAAATCTTAGTAGAATTCCATATGTTAAGCCACTACTTCTGGTTTTTCATTAAGGCATTATCTTGGGGAAATTAAGCTTTTTTTCTTTCTTTTTACAAAAAAGTCACCATTTTTTCAATAAATTATTTTCTAATTCACAAGAACCATGGAAATTTTATCTTTTGAAAAAGATTCATTACAAGTTTTATCAGTAGAAGATTGTTTCAAGATGTTATCCTCCAAAAGCCATAGTGACTCAGATCCCCACCACAGAATCAAAAGAGACTCAAAGACAAAGACAATGAAAAATTTTAATGCACCAAAAAGTGTTTGCAGAAAAGGAGCAGAGAAGTATAGTTCTATTTAAATGCCAAATGGATGGGAGCCTTTTTGATGAGGGCATCTTAGGTTTATGTTTAACATTTCCTAACTGCAGATTATACAGAAAACAAGGGTGGGGAATAACATTTATTCAGTATTTATGTGCCATGCACATCATGGCCTTTCTCATATTATCACATTTAATCCAAACATTTCTATAAAGAGTGAATTTTGCATGACTTTTATTAAATGAAGTTATATCAAGAGAATTTTAAGTTACTTGCTTGGGGTAGAGCACCAAATCCAAATCCAGCACTTTTTCTAACAACTACTCTTTCTTATGTATGTCATTCAACAGTACTTTCAAGATCCAGGACTTAGCAGATCTAAAGATATGCTCCTAAAAACCCAACAAATGGATTACCGTGACAAAATTAATGTTGGGCAACAGTTGTTATAAATCATTTAAACTCATTCCTTCTTTCTGTACTCTTATGCTTATTTTCTATTTTAGCCATTTATGTAAAACTATGCAGGCTGAAAAGAGTAATCAGAATTTCTCAAACACTTTTAAGACCATTAAAAAAAAAAAAAGAAGTAGAAAGTTTTATTGGCATTTGGAGTAAGCTGCTTAAGAGACTGACTCAAGATAGTGCCCTCTGTGTCAGTATGAGGAACTGAACTCTTGTTTACTTTATTAAGAAACTGAACATACTTTATTGTCTTCCAAGAAGTAAAAATAATTTTGTGCTGCAGGAAAAAGATAAGCAGGATTTGTACATTTTATATATATATATCTTTTCAAAATGAAATCTGTTTCATATAAATCTATGCTATCACCACAACTTTGAAAATTTAGTATTTATAATTTTGATCTTGATGTTGGAAAGCTTATAAAGGAGAATGTCTTTGTCTTGTACATCATTTTATCCCCAAAGTTAGTATGAATTTATACTTAACATGCTCACTAAATGTCTAGCTAAATAGTGAGTACCTATTGTAGATAGTAGCAGATACAAAAGTAAGCGTTATAGACAAGTAAGATCAGTAATTTACGTGTCACGGAAGACATCTCAGCTTTTTTTTTTTTTTTGCCATTTTTGCACAAATAAGTGACTTTTACCCCCCGCAAGTATCCTTGTGAGCTGTCCATTCTTTTCAGTACACAAACAGTGCAGGTATACAAATGTTACCCATCTTGCATACTGTTGGAAAGGAATTGGCAGAACTGAGACTGCAACCTGGGTCACTTGAATTTTTGTATTTTGCATATTTACATTACGAACCACAGTCTCCTTTTTTTAATGGAGAATTGCCATATTCATATTACTTAAAGGACCTACGTATGTCTTCTAGTTTATCCCCATGTGTATTATCATCCAAAACTCTTTCAGAGGTTTCTTGAAGGTGCTTCTATAAAAACAACATGTAATAATTAAGTGAATTAAATATTCCTGGAATAGTTTGTACCTTTTTTCTCTTGTCCCCCTCCAAATACTACATTTTGGTAAAACATACCTCTATTTCTTCATTTTTAAATCTGTTCATTGTTGCTTCCACTGTAAAACTTCCACTTTATACTGGTAGGGGAAAAGGTTTTGTTTTGAATTTTAGCATTTGAGTTTTGGTTATGTATTACATATTGTATACCACCCTCAATGAAAAATCTGTTTTGAACTAGGCATATCCTGTCAATACTCTGTCCAATAAGTTCATTGCTTTCTCAAATAGTAGCAAATTCAATGATATGTTTTCCCATGTGATAGTTTCTGTAACCTTCCTGAATTTGATAAATAAGCAGAATGGACATCTTATATTGGAAATACTGTGAATGGAAAAATTGCCAAATCTCTTCTTGATATTCTAAACACCCCTACAACACTTTGCACTCTTGTCTTTAAGGATTTTTAAACGTAGGGTCAAGGATTTGGGTTTGATCCTTTGGTGAAGATCATGGCATCATGGCATTTCCAAAACCATCTGCGTACACTATCACATTTGAGATGTTGTGATGTGGCTTGATGATATTAAGGTAAGCCGCTATGATTTGCCCAAGTGCAATATAAAAAAATCCAGAATGTATATTTCACTTTTTTCTACTTTCACACACTCACATATACATTTTGTTTAACTTCAGGTATATTTTAAAAGAATCATGAACCGCTGTATCAAAATTATTTTCAATAAAATTTGTTTTAAAATCTTTGTCTGAATTGTGTCTATCAGTTTGTTGAACTGGATTGTATTGGAACAGCTTGGATTGGATTTATGATATGAAAGCAAAAGAAAAATTCTCAGAGCCAAGAAACAACAAACTCATTAGCAGACAAGAGACACTGAAGTCTAGAAATGTCTACATAACAGAGCCTCATGGTGTCTCTTGTTTATCACCTGACCTTAAACACAACGTCTCAGTGTATTAACTGCAAGTATTTCCATTAACCCCAAATTGTTCTTTTCTTACCTCATTCTTTATTACTGATCTCCTCTCATGATCTAAGACCAAAGAATCTGACATGAGCTCTATTTCTTCTAAAAGTTTCCTTTTAATCAGAAATTATTTTTAAAATACTTGCACCAAATCCCAACCCCTACTCATCCCACCTTCTCCAAGCAGCCTCTTCATGTTAATCTCAACTACATTATAAGGGTTTAATTAGCATATCTGCTATTGAACACCTAATCTGTAGCGCAAGTGGTTTTGTTTTAGGCAGAACTGTGATTGAATCCAGGGCTTCACTCATGCTAAGCAAGCACTCTACCCCCGAACTGTGTCCCTAGCCCCCTTTTCCTTTCCTAACTGTCTCCACAGCTCCTGAGACATGCCTTCACTCTGCCTATTTATCAAAGTGGCTTAAGGGCATCAGTGGCTTACTGTCACATCCATGGCAGAACTACCAGCTTTGCAAATTCAAAATAAAGAGAAAAAAATAATCTTTCCATTCAAATCTCTTTGCAACTATCAATTTCTGACAGAATTCCTACAGAGTTCTTAAAAATACAAACATTTCCTTTGTCACCTGTATTTCCTGAATCCTCTATCATAAGTTCTTCTCTTCCTCCCTTGAAATCTCTAAATTTCACCTTTTCCACTTCCACTGTCCCATTACAGGACCTCCCTGACGACGGGGGGAGAACCATGTTTGGGAATTAATTGCCCAGCTTCACATGTATTCCACGTTCTGTTTTAAGTCACCTCTTTTTCAGCTTACCCCTGCTACACACATGAACACATACATACACACAAAAAGAAAAAAGAAAAACACAATTCTGGCTTTGGCAGGGAGTGCCAGGAATTTCTGCTGAATCTGACTTTTGCCCAGGCCTTTTAAAACAGTCTCCATACCCTGGCTTCCTGGTCACTGTGCTGGCCCTGCTGCATGCTGCACTTTGACTTCTTAGGTCTAAAGCACCTCCCAGGGGCTCCCCACCCTTCCTGTGTTCTCTGGAATTAGATTGTGGCCTAATCAGAGTCTGCAGTGGCCTATCCATACCTCTCAGAGCAGCCTCTTCTATTTCCACACAGGTTTAGGCAAGTCATTCAACACAATACAGCACCAATCAAACTTTTAGTTTGCTTCCTTCCCCTAGAAACCTCCCTGTGTTATGCTGACAAAATCTCTAGCTCAGAATCCTAACTCCCTAATGCCATCAAGTACAATTTCTTTGAACAACTCTGAAAACTATTAATGCTTTTCTTTCCCTCCTTATTCAATCGCATTACCCATGCTATGGCAATAAACTAACTTTTTGTTAGAATAGACCAGAAAATAGAAAAGACAGGGAGAAGCAAACATGTCCAATAGATGTAAACAGAATGATGGTAATTTATTATTTCATTCTGTCCGAAGATAGGGAGTATGGCAAGTAGCACTGTAAAGCAATTCTGGTTCATTCAAAAACACTTATCAGTTCATTCTACCTTACCTCCAAGCTTAAAAAGCAATCTACATAGTTAAGGCTTAGTATAAGTCACAACATTCAAATGTACAATTCACAATTCAACTTTATCTTCTAAGTTGTTATAACCAAGAAGAGTACTAATGAGATAATACTCAAATACACAGATCCTGATACAATGGACAATCACAAAATTTATTGGAAAAAAGTGAAGGAATTGTGCCTTTTTTAAGAAAATAAAATAAAATTTTATTCCCTTTTAAAGCAAAAGGATTAGTACTAAAACAATTTCATATTATCTAATTGAAAAAAGCTAAAGAAAAAAACAATTAGCCCTGTAGACATAAAACGCCTTTTGTGTGTGTGTGTTCTTGTTCTTATTTATTTATTTATAATAGTGGAGTGCATTACAATTCTT